GAGCTAAAGGTCTGTTTCAGGAAATCACATCCCCAGCAATCAGCGCTTTTAGGAATAAACTGAAAAAGAGTTCATACACTGCTAGTTGGCAGTGTTGTACATATATTATACATGAATTGTTGCCAGCTAGTAAGTGTCAAATTGAACTTGCGCTTTAAAATTAGCTTCCGCTAGTTTTTCTATGGCATAAGCAACTTTGAGGTCACGGACCTAAATATTCACATAAGCGTGTAAGAAATARYTGTTTAACATCGGCTGAAATCAGATGAAACCACAAGTGTTAAATAAGATGATCTGCAATAGGAAATAACTGTCATACAACCCAGAATTRTMGAGCGGGTGAGGCTTTTAKTGCCACCGGCTGACAATTCAAAACCACACACACTGAATTAAAAACAGGAAGTCCGCTTATAAATACAGTCCAGAAATCTTCAATGRCTCAGTTCGCCCCCTGCTGGCCCATGGCTGAATCCCAGGCATTCAGACAAACAATCTTCACTCTTATGTAATTACAGCTTTAAAAAATATGTGTTGTTTAATGATTCGGACATGTATCTACACATAATATAACAAACATTGTAAAAGTATTATAAAATAAGGAAACCCTAATACTCTGGTGTTGTTTGTAATATCAGTACTAAGCTATAATAACTATAAATTTCTTCAAGCGCGTTAGAAATTGCGGCGATAATTTTTGGATTAGCGCTGCCCACCACTGTTCATCCTCTTACAAAAGTCTATCCAAAGTCATATTTATTAAACTGTTTTTTGATCCATTTTATTTCTCTGTTTTCTCCTCAGGCTCCAGAAAAACTCTGTCTCAGATGAAGATTGCAATGCTTGGGCAGAAGACGTTTGGGAAGAGTGCATCCGGAAACACGATCCTGAGGAAAGCAGTATTTGCCACCTGTCAAAATGAGCAGTGTGTCGTAGGGGAAGGGGAGGTCAGTGGTCGGCACATCACTGTCATCGACACCCCAGGCTGGTGGCGCGAGTCGTCCCGCTGCACACAAGAGCTGGACATAGAAATCGTTCAAGGTTTTTCTCTGTGTCCATCAGGGGTGCATGCCGTTTTATTGGTCATTCCTTTGGACTTGTCTTTCAGAGAGCCACATCAAGCTGCTCTGGAGGAACACATGAACCTTTTTGAGGCAGGTATCTGGAAACACACCATAGTTCTGTTCACACATTCAGACCAACTGGCTGACCGGTCTATAGAGGAGCACATTGAGCGGGAGCACCCTGCTCTGCGCTGGTTAGTGGACAGATGTGAAAACAAGTACCACACATTAAACAACATGACCAAGAGTGACCTGGGTCAGGTTGTAGAGCTCTTAGAAAAGATAGAGGAAATGGTGGCAGGAAACCAAGGCCYGCTGTTCTGTCCCGACTCAGAGGAGGTCCTTCAAAGAATCTCTGAGAAGTTCAGTAAGAGGCAGCTGAAGAACGTGCTGAAGCAACGACTAGAGACGGAGTTCAGACGGAGGGAGCTGGAGCTCATGATCGGCTTCAGGGACAGCCTCATCCAACTGCAAGCTGACCTCAGAGAGGAGACGAGCACCAAACCAAAGTCCTACAGTGAGTATTCTGATGTGAAGCAGGACGAGCTGTTTACTAGAAATATTTTATTGTCCAAATCGGTAACACTTTATAATAATTACACCTTATTTAGCCTTAATTAATCATTAGTAAAGGGTTACTTAACCTTGAAAACATCATTAATTAACGATGATTCAGACTTCATAAGCTATGAAATAACATTTATTAATGTGTTACCCATAAAGGCTAATTTCTTCTAAAACCAACATACTCATCGTTAACTCATGCTTAATAACTCA